GACAAAGGAAAATATTAAAATGAAATGTGCAAGGAGCTGGAGTCAGAAAACCAAAAGGGCCAAACTCGCTGAGCACTTAAGCTCAAGGAACTGAAGAACAAATTCAAACCTTGAGTTGCTATAATCAAGGATGCTTCTGGCAGAATATTATATGATCCAGAAGTATTAAAAGAAGATGAAAAGAATATACTGAGTCACTGTATCATAAGAAATTGGCAGACACAGAAGAATTTAATGAAATAACATAAGAACAAGAGTCTATGGTGATGAAGGAAGAAGTTCAGGCTGCTTTGAAGGAAATAGCGAAAAATAAGGCCCCAGGAATAGATGGTATACCAATTGACTTATTTCAGCTAACAGATACTGCCCTGGATGTGCTCACAAAGTTGTGTCAAGAAATCTGGAGAACAACCACTTGGTCAACTGACGGGAAGAGATTTATATGTGTTCCCATTCCAAAGAAGGGTGAACCAAAAGAGTGTGGAAATAATAGAGCAATATCATAGATTCCACATGCAAGCAAGATTCTATTGAAGATTATAAAAAAATGACTGGAACAGCCCATCAACAGAGCACGGCCAGAAGTCCAGGCTGAGTTTAGAAGGGGTCATGGTACCAGGGATACTGTAGCTAATGTTAGATGGATCTTGGCTGAAAGCAGGGAATACTGGAGGAATGTATATCTGTGTTTCATTGATTATGCAAAGCTGTTTGACTATGTGGATCATAACAAACTTGGCTGACTCTGAGAAGAATGGGAATCCCAGAACACTTGATCATGCTACTGAGAAACCTATACTTGGATCAAAAGGCAGTCGTCAGAACAGAGCAAGGAAACACTGCATAGTTCAAAATTGGGAATGGTGTATGACAAGGATGTGTCCTGTCTCCATAACTTTTCAACCTGTAGGCAGAATAGATTATCCGAGAGGCTGGGCTCTATGAGGAGAAGTGTGGTGTCAGGATTGGTGGAAGATCTATCAACAATCTGTGTTATGCAGATGACACAACCCTGCTTGCTGAAACTGAAGAAGACCTGAAACACTTGCTGCAGAGGGTCAAGGACTGCAGCCTTCAATATGGATTGAAGCTCAATGTCAAGAAAACAAAGAGTCTCACCACTGGACCAACTGGCAGCATCAGGATGGATGGTGAAGAGATCAAGATTGTTAACAACTTTAGTCTGCTTGGCTCCATGGTCAACACTCTTGACACCAGCAGCCAGGAAATTAAAAGGCGCATTGCCATGGGAAAGTCTGCTGTTAGGGACCTCTCCAAAGTACTGAAGAGCAATCGTGTCACTCTGGAGACTAAGATGCGTCTGATACAGGCCATGGTCTTTGTAATCACTTGTTATGCCTCAGAGAGTTGGACAATGACTAGGAAGGATAGAAGGAGAATTGATGCCTTTGAGCTGTGGTGCTGGAGAAGAGTATTGATTGAGTGTACTATCGACTGCTAAGAAAACAAACAGATTCATCCAGGAGAGGGTTAAACCAGGCTGCTCCTTGGAGGCAAGGATTCTGAGGCTTCATCTGACATACTTTGGCCATTTTGTAAGGAGGGACGGGTCCCTGGAGAGGGACATCATGCATGGGAGGGTGTAGGGACAGTGCAGGAGGGGAAGGCTCTCTATGAGCTGGATTGATTCAGTGACTGGAGTAATTGGGATGCGTATGTCGGAGACAGTGAGAATGGCGCAGGACAGAGCAGAGTTTAGGGCTGTTCTACATAGGGTCACTATGAGTCGCAAGCAACTCGACGGCACATAACAACAGCAACAACAACTCACTGTCATCAAGTCAGAACTGATTCATAAGTGATCTTCCAGTGGGTTTTTAGAGGCTGTAAATTTGCACAAGAGGAGACTACTTATTTTTGTCCTATAGAGCAACTGATGGATTTGAACCATTTGCCTTTGAGCAGAAATACAACTTTATGTATACACTAAGCCAACAGAGTTCCAAATGACAAAATTTAACTTTTAGAAACAAAACAATCAGAGCAACTTCTGCAAGTAGTGATAACAATGAACACTACAAATTTGGTAATATAAACTATCATTCAGCAATTCTTCTATTAGGAATATACCCGTGAGAAATGAAATAAATATCCAAGAAAAAACGTACACATAAATGTTTACAGCAGCTTTATTCAAAATAGGTAAAATCATAGTTGCTATTAAGTGCTGACTCATACTGAACCCTGTGTGCAACAAAACAAAACACTACAGTTAAAAACTACTGGTAAGGTATTATGTTAATCCATCTTATTAAGGGTCTTCCTCTCCTTTGCTGACCTTGTACCTGTCAAAACACAATATCCTTTTCTAGCTCTTTCCTGATAACACACTCTCTAAGTCTGTGAGATGAAGTCTCATTATCCATACTTATAAACAGCACTCTGGTTGCATTTCTTCCAAAGCAATCCAATCACATAATGAATAGATAAATAAAATGGCATATATTTATAAAGAAAAACAAAATCCACCACTCCATTTGCTGTCGACTCTTATTCTAGCCTGTGGCAACCTACCATGTTTTAGAACAGAGCCCAGGACTTCTGAGGCACCTGTAGGTGGTGCCTCAACCCTCAGTTAGTAAACTAATCTTGAAGGTTGGTTAGCCAACCTTCAGCTACTAAACATTTCAGCATTTAACTGTTCCTGCCTCCCTGAAATTCCAAGTATATCTATATTAAAATACCTTTTGGCACTAAATAGAAATGAACTAGTGATACAAGTTATAATTTGCATGAACCTTAAAAACATTCTTTTAAAAATAATAAAAGAAGAAAAAAATTGAAATTTAATATACAACCACAAAGCAAAGAAGCTGGTTGCAAAGACCACATATTATATTATTCCATTTTTATCAAATCTCCAGAATAGTAAAATCTATGAAGATAGAAAACAGACTAACATTTACCCAGCATTATAGTTTTGAGGAAAAATGAAGAGTAATTGCTATTGGGTAAAGAGTTTCTGTGGTGATAAAAATGTTATAAAATTGACTATGGTATTGTTTGCATAACTGTGAACAAAAGTAAAAAGACCATAATGTACATTTTTTTTCTTTTTTGGTGGCAGATGTTTTGGCCTTCAAAGTTCTCATTTGAGTATTTGCTACTACCATCAAGAGCTGCACCTACAGCAGTTCCACTTAGCTTGGCCCTTGCCTGCAAATTCACTGCAGCAAGCCCTCCCAGCTGTCACAGTGTAGTATCTGTGCTGAGGGAAGGGCTGGAAGGATGAGCCCCCCCTGTAATGTGTATTTTAAATGAGTGAACTGTATAGTAAGATTGATATTTCAATAAAGCCAATACTGAGTTTTGTATTGCTAAAATTGAAAAGGGAAGTAAAATTATAAAAATAGCATCCATCCTATTGGCTCTTCAATAAAAAAAATGTTACTACTATAAAACAGTCACTACATTTCTTCCTAATTTTCCAAAAAGAAATTATATTCAAATGTTATTTTCACTTGTAAACTTACAAACACACAAAATTAAACTCATTAGATGATGATGTTAGTAGATGTTATCTATAAGCTTATATCAGAGATTTTCACAGGGTCTCTATGATGCATAGTCAACGCAATGCCACATAACAGCAGAAAGGGAAATAAAATTTGATGCATTTTTTTAAAAAGTCTCTCCCACTTAGAATACATAATCTCTCAGATATGAAAAGGTTAATGCATGGAAAAACTAGAGGAGGAGGGTATTCTCCATACATATAACACTGTTTTTAATTATGTGCCTTTTCTGAATCTCACACTGGAAACTAATAGTTAGCCCTTAATAACATTATAACAACATTATAAAACATAATGTTCTATGAAACAAAGACCTCTTACTAACCTTTTAAAATATTTTTTAAAAGGACTTCATTAGACTTATTTTTTCATTAGTTCTGACAGAGTCTTTCTCATACATTATTCTTTAGTAAAAGTTATATACAAGGCTAAATATAAACAGTGAACATACATAATTTGAGAAAAATAAAAAGATAACAATTTACTTTTTAAAAGATGACTTAGATCCCTATTTTTAAACTACAGTCGCCAAAAAAGCAAAAGAGATGGCAAAGATTGTGAAATGGGACTATCAAAAAAAAAATAAGATCAAAGTAAAAAAGATATGCAGAAAGATTCCAAGTGAACAAAATTTGTATGAAAATGCTTTCTTTGGGAAATTAAAAAGACCTCTAATTTTCTCAGGTTAGTTATTCACATAAGTTATTATAGAAACTACCAAAGTATACACTTCCATGGTAAAAAAAGACTCAGAATGTGAATACATTTCAATACAATAAGAAAATTTCCCACATGAGAAAATATTATGGGGACAATAAAGATTCAATCACTAGCCTCTTATTGCATGTTTTCAGAATTTTCCAATTATTAGCACTCAAGAAACAAATAACATTTTAAAACTAATCAAAGATACTAATAAAAATAGTAATAGTTCTATGAAGGCATTTATGACTCTTGTTGTTAAGTGCCATAGAGTCGCAGACAACCCTGAGCGACCGTGTGAACATTAAGTCCTGAACACAAAAATAAAAATTCCAAGTATACATGTAAACATATATACGATGTGCTAATTAATACATATTTATATCTGATATATATCCTTTATATGTATATAAATAAATATATATACCTATATAAAACTGAACATTCACATTGAGACAGGCTAGGAAGAAGGATTGGCCATCCACTTCTGAAATAGCAGGCCTATATATTTTTAAACTCTATTACAACTTGGAAGAGATAAGTATATAAAAACTCATCATCTTAAATTTTCCATAATAAAATAGCAACAATCATTTTCTTCAGTAATGATGCAAGATTTTGTCTTTAAAAGTTATTACTCCATGTATGTAAGTCACATTTCAAAATCTAAAGAATTAGACAAATAAGAATTATTAAAAATGCTATAGTGACCAACTTTTCCCTACAAATTGCTAAAACAAAAATTCTGTTTAGATTACTTACATTGTTGTTCCGAGTTTCTACCGCAGGGAATTTTCTAACTATGAATTTCACAGCAGATTCCAGGTTTTTGTCAATAAGATAGGATGGTTTTGCCTTGGGGTCTCCACAAGCCTATAATAAAACAATAAAAAAGTGAAATGCCTCTTTTTTCTAAAACCAAGTAATAAAAGCTAATCTGTAATCAGAAATTAGAAATATTTACTGTTTTTTAGTGAGCAGGTGATAAAATGAATAGGCAAAGTGCAGGGATTGTCACAGCTGAAATATGCAATGGGAGACAGTACAGAGATGTTCCTCTACTGAAAAAAAATGTATGGAAAGTTTCAAAGCAGTTAGCGCAGAACAGCAGTGAGGGGGAAAGCTCAAACCTAAAAGAAAAAAAAAAGAAAGAAAAAAAATTCTTGGTCTGAGGTAGCACTGTATTCACTTGAGGCTAATAAAATATTACAAAATTAAATATTTAGTAAGGTACTAGACATGTTTCTTTCTAAGTGTTGCAAAATAAAAATTATGTTTTAAGTGTTTTTCTCCAAAATGCTGTCCTCATTCACATTAAACACTGTATTACAAGAGTCCTAGTTCAAAAGAACTGGAAGCTGCTAAAGTGTGTTGCCTGTTCCTCTGAACATCTCTTTTCTCTCATACCAGCAGCACTTCAAACAATGAATCTACATCTGTTCTACATCTCATAAGCACAACAAATGGAAATATTTATGTTTATACCACCATCAGTAGTATAGCATTTTCTGTAGTAAACAGTAACACTGTCCAAATGTATTTGATAGAAAGGACTTTTCTCATTTGAACTATCAGTAATACAGAAAATAATCTTAATATTCACTGTTTCAGAACATGATAATTATCTGTTTGCTATTAAGATGTTATTTCTTGGGGAATTATTAAATTGCAACATTCCTATTTAATTTTTCATTGCATTTTTAAAAGGTTTTGTCCTTTGAATAGTTGTCTGCCATGTGTGAGGAAATACAGTATTACAATTTAATGTCTCTTTATTGATTTCTATGGCTATGTTGTGGATTGCAGAGAGAGAAGTTATGAAACATGAAACTGATCTGAAAGCGGGCAAGCGGGCAGAGGGAAGGTGAAAAGCTTTGCAAACCTTCCAAACTTGTCCTTGCTGGGGAAGCATTGTAATAAAAAGAGAGAAAATTACGTGTAAACAATGATTGTCAAACTATGACATGCGTTTCAGTAGAGAATTTATGTACTGCAGACTATGAACAACAAAACAAGATTAGAACTATATGATGCTACAATTTTAAAGTAGCAAATTTTAGTATACAATAGATTATTAGAGGTTATATTATTCATATATATATATTTAAATACTACTGTGTAAGTATTCAACCATGTCAGGTTCTTTTGTGCTTTTTCTAAGTCAACTTACAGCAATACTAGGAGAGAAAAAAAAGAAAAAAATGAAGACTACATGCATCTATAAAGACAGGAGCAAAACCATCAGTGAAATTTTACATACCTTAAAAACATACGGTAGCCAAGAATAAAAATAAAGTGTTATTGGAGGACTTTTACACTTTAGCTTAAATTGAAGATTTTTTTTAAAAAAAAATCAATGAACTTTAAAAAAAGAATAGCAAAGCCAAAGTATAAAAGCAAATGCAAACATTCCTCTATTTTCCAAAGGGTTAGGAATGAACTAAGAATTAATTCTCTTCTCAAACATGATTAAATCAAAGCAATTTTAAGAAACTGAAAACACCATTTTTAAATTGACATATTACTACTATGTAAATTTCATCATATATATTTAACTTGTGCTGAATAGATTATCATTTCTTTAAAACACCATTTCTCATCTGTTAACTTTATAATCAGTCTAGCTTCGTTCTAGAAAAGTATTAAATACTAAGTAAGAAATTACTAGGAATTACATAACCAAGAATTTTCCCAAACAGAAATATCTAGAAATTATCATTTCCTTATATCAATATATAGCAAAATGAAATTTCATACATGTACCTGAGATAGCACAAAATCCTAAAGTGATTTCAAATCATTTTTTTCAAGGATATATATTCCTTCATATTTCTAATTTTTTTAAATTTCAATTATTTATTCAAACTTACTAGTAACAATCAAATAATGAAAATGATAAGACTACCATACTCATTTCCCACAATCACAAATTTCACTGTGTAAAAAATTAAATCAAGTAACTAGTGAAATTATATAAAAAATGCAGAGTTCTTCCTTCTCACATTGAAAATATTAGAACAGAACTCCATCTTAACAAAAAAAATGGTTACAAAATTTCTCCTTGGAATTGGTTTACCTTTCTCTACAGTTCAGTGGGCATTACCTATACATATTACACTATAAGACAACATGCCATAAGAGCCTGTGCTAAGACTGTCCAGGTTTCAATCTTCACCACTTCCTAGGCCTGGGTCTTTGAATATATTTTATAAAATCTGCAAGCCTCAGTTTCTGTATTTGGAAAATGGGGAAATCCATACTTACCTCATAGGGCTATTATAAAGATTAGAAGCGAGATAATCCATGTAGAGTATCTAGCAAAATGACTGTTACATAAGTATCCTAAAAATATTGGCTGTCATTAATATAATCTATAATTATTACGGTAATTAATTATAATTACCCAAGTAAAATTCTCACATGGTAGTGATCATAGAGGCAAATAAATCAATGTCATGGTATATCCCACTGCCACTGAGGCTATTACAATTCATAGCAACCCTTCATTGGGTTTCAGGAGCTGTAAAGCTTTATGGTAGGAAACTATCTTTCTCCCATGGAACAGTTGGTAGATTTGAACCACTAACCTTTTGGTTAGCAGCGCAACACATTATGCACTATGTCACCAGGGTTCCTTTATCACAGTATAAGTTGTTGTGTATTGTCAAGTCAGAATCAACTCATAGCTGACCTTCTCATGAGTTTTCAGAGGCAGTAAATCACATGGGAGGAAACTGTCCATCTTTCTTCCATCAAGTAGCTGGTGGACTGGCAGTGTCTTTACCACTAGTTCACCAGAGCTCCCTATCATAACATATAGGAACTAGTAATATTATATTAGAGTTATAATTCTCTCTCCATCACATATTTCCTTCACTCATCTAAAGTCTGAACATACTAAATTTATTGTATTTTTAGAAATAATTTAGCCCACTGGTTACCAAACGAGCTCAAGACAAGCTGTCCATTTTAAATACTAAAATTCTAGTCTATCATTTCCTAGTTGTACAACCTTGATCAAGCAAATTTACTCGCCTGTGCATGTTTTCTCATCTGTTAAAAAAAGGAGGTAATTATAACCTACCCTAAAAATTATTTATGCAAAGAGAGAGAGAGAGAGAGAGAGAGAGAGAGAG